AACCGTGGCCTTCAAAACCAAGAGTTCTCTCAGCCCTGGTCTACAATCGGGAGTTATTTTGAAATAGCCCCCCTTAGGTCGAATTTATAAGAGGGGCATCCAAGCCCATTATTTCAAAATAATTAGCTGCTTATTTTGAAATCTCTACTCCTGCTTTCCTCGGAGAAGAATGCGAACTTCAAAATAGTTATTTCGAAATAGCAGTCGTGTGGGTGGTCCAGTGCCGCTATTTCAAAATAACGACTGCCCAGAGTAATTCAGACTAATCACTCTCCAGCGTTTCCTGGGGCTCTATGTCGAGGTAGCACATCCACATTAAGGGAGCCTACCTCGGACTCATTTTGAGGCTTCCCCGTAGTGGGGACACGCTATTTCAATTTTGTTATTCCAGGAGTTATTAAATCGATTTTAGTTATTTCAAAATAGTTATTTCTCCCTAGTGTAGACATGCCCTGTGCCAGGGGCAAGAGGAGGCTTCATTCATTAACGCTTGCAAAGGGCGAGAGATTCTTATTAGCGCATCAACCCTATTCCTGAGAACCCCACTTCTTCTGCCTGCTTCATCAGTCCTCCTTCTGCCAATGAATTCCCCTGGAACTCACTTAAATGAGTTTGAAAGTGTCGGCCAAGTAATGTCTCTGTTCTCAGCTGCCAAATGAGCCAGTTTCCCTGCAGCTATCCCTTAAACTTAAATGTCTGTCTCATTGCCTGTTCTCCTCTGGGTCCCATCTTCTGTCTGACTACATGCCTCAACCTCCTCTCTGCTCTGGGGAAGCTTTTCTGCAGTCTGTGTTCAAAGGGGTTTTGTATCCTCTCTATTTTCTATGCACTGGGCCTTTATAAGGTCTGTTCAAACACCAAGTCTTCTTTTATTAATCCTGGCAAGCTAGCACGCTCCTTGCTGGAAGCATCTGCCTGTGCATCTTGCTGAATGAAAGCCCTATCTCAGGAAGTAAACACAAGCACAAATGGAGCACGATGCTAGTCCTGTTTACTAGCATGCTGAGCGCCAGACCGCGGATGGAAATAGCACGGCACAGCTCCCAAGAGGCACCTGGAAGTTATGTCATCACACACTGAATTAAGCTCCTACTTGGGTTTCCATTAGGACTCTTTGCTTTTGCCAACTCTGCAGAAAAGGGCCTGGGATTATAGTGGATGAGAAGCTGGATATGAGTTGACAGGGGGCCCTTGTAACCAAGCAGGCTAACGGCATATTGGGGTGCATTAGGAGGAGCATTGTCAGCAGAGCTAAGGAAGTGATTATCCCCCTTTATTAGGCTTTGGTGAGGCCACATCTGGAGTATTGCGTCCAATTCTGGATACCCCCCCATTTCAGAAAGGATGTGGATGCATTGGAGAGGGTGCAGCAGAGGGTAACAAAAATGCTGAGGGGGCTGGAGCACATGATCTATGAGCATAGGCTGAGGGATTTGGGCTTATTTAGTCTGCAGAAGAGAAGAGTGAGGGGGGATTGATAGCAGCCTTCAACTCCCTGAAGGGGGGTCATAGAATCATAGAATCATAGGACTGGAAGGGACCTCGAGAGGTCATCGAGTCCAGCCCCCCGCCCTCAAGGCAGGATCAAGCTCCGTCTACACCATCCCTGGGTCCTTTCTAAAGAAGCTGGAGAGAGGCTGTTCTCAGTGGTGGCAGATGGCAGAACGAAGAGCAATGATCTCAAGTTGCAGTGGAGCGGAGGTGGGGAGGGGTCTAGGTGGTGAAGCGCTGGGATGGGTTCCCTAGGGAGGTGGGGGAATCTTTATCCCTAGAGGTTTTAAGTCTCAGCTTGACAAAGCCCTGGCTGGGAAGTTTTAGTTGAGATTGTTCCTGCTTTTAGCAGAGGGTATGACCTCCTGAGGTCTCTTCCAACCCTAGGATTCCAACTCCACCAGGACTGTGAATAAATTCACCACTGCAGTCCTGCAATGCACAAATCCTGTCACACGTTGAAGATCCGGCAGTCAGAGGAAATAGACCCCCGGGGTTTTGTCCTGCCTACAACAGCAGTTAGATCGTTTCCAGCATTGTTTCAGAGATCCCCACGGCTCACAGCTGCCATCAGCAGTTCAGTTTGCCTGTGCACACCCGACTTCGCTAGCAATGGCAGCGAAGTTTGGTCTCTCTGCTGCTCCAGTGTTTTCAGAACCCAATGCTGCTGGTAACACAAGAACGGCCAGACTGGGTCAGGCCAAAGGTCCATCTAGCCCCATGTCCTGTCTGCCCACGGTGGCCAATGCCAGATGCCCCAGAGGGAGTGAACAGATCAGGGAATCATCGTGTGATCCCTCCCCTATTGCTCATTCCCAACCCCTGGCAGACGGAGGCCAGGAACACCATTCCTAAGTGGAATATTTGTATCATCTCCTGTTTAGCACACTAATTACACTTGTAAAAGCGACAAGGAGTCCTGTGGCACCTTATAGACTAACAGATGTGTTGGAGCATAAGCTTTCGTGGGCAAAAACCCACTTCGTCAGATGCATGTAGTGGAAATATCCAGAGGCAGGTATAAATATGCAGGCCAGAATCAGGCTAGAGATAACGAGGTTAATTCAGTCAGGGAGGATGGGGCCCACAGCTGATCTGGAGGCGTGAACACCAAGAGAAGAGAAGCTGCTTTTGTAGTTAGCGAGCCATTCACAGTCTGTTTAATCCTGAGCTGATGGTGTCAAACTTGCAGATGAACTGTAGCTCAGCAGTTTCTCTTTGAAGTCTGGTCTTGAAGTTTATTTGCTGCAGGATGGCTACCTTTAGATCTGCTTAAGCTTATGACCAATACATCTGTTAGTCTATAAGGTGCTACAGGACTCCTTGTTGCTTTTGCAGATCCAGACTAACACGGCTACCCCTCTGATAATTACACTTGTATATCCATAGTGCAGCATTTCCTTTCACTCTTAGGGAAGGGGACAAGCGATTCTAGGTTTGATTGGTCAGGGATGTCTGCACTATATACTTAAATACGGTAAGTGGGCTCAGTCCAGGGTATAAATACATTAGTGGATACTGAAAATAAAACCACTCCACTGAAATTCAATACAGAAGTCAGACACAGAACGAAATCCAACATCAATGGATTAAAATTGGCAAGGGCCAGCTACCATAAGAAAAATCTTGGCTGCTCTTCTGTCATTAGAATCGAATCCACTTGCCTGGCAAAGAATCTGGGATAGAAAGTAGCAAAGAATTTACCTCCAGACTCCAGCAGCACAATCATTCTGTCTGCCTACATCCACCAGTAACTTCATTTGGATGCAGTATTCTTCGCTTCGGGTGCGTCTACACAGCAGGGCTAAATCCGAAATAAGCTACACAACTTGAGCTACGTCAATAGCGTAGCTGAAGTCAAAATAGCTTAATTTGCCTTTTGGCACTGCCTACCCAGCAGGAAGTCTGAGAAAGAGCACTCTCCGTCCGCTACCCTTAATCCTCGTACAATGAGGGTTACAGGGATCAGAGTAAGAAGTCCTCTGGCTGGACGTTATTTTGACACTATGTCGAAATAAGCGCTTGTGTGCAGACGCAGACTATGTTATTTTGGAATAACGTTAGTTATTCTGAAATCACCCTGCTGTGCGGTTGTACCCGAGGGCTGTGTCTACACTGGCATGAATTTCCGGAAATGCTTAAAACAGAATAGTTTTCGTTATAAGTATTTCCGGAAAAAGAGCGTCTACATTGGCAGGCTGCTTTTCCGGAAAAGCCCTTTTTCCAGAAAAGCATCTGTGGCCAATGTAGACGCGCTTTTCCGGAAAAGAGCCCCGATCGTCATTTTCGCGATCGGGGCTTTTTTCCGGAAAAGACTACTGGGCTGTCTACACTGGCCCTTTTCCGGAACAGTGTTCCGGAATAAGGACTTATGCCTGAGCGGGAGCAGAATAGTTTTTCCGGAATAGCGGCTGATTTTGTACAGTACAGCGTCGTTGCTTTTCCGGAAATTCAAGGCCAGTGTAGACAGCTCGCAGCTTATTCCGGAAAAGCGGCTGATTTTCCGGAATAAGTGGCCCAGTGTAGACACAGCCTTCCTGACTCAAATGGCTGTGTGCTGTTAGCCAGCTGTCATGCTCTCCCAGAGATGGCTGAACTTCTGCCATCAGTGCACCTGAAAACAGTTCTTTAGGCACTTCAGGATGAGAGGCGTTCAAGAAATGTGGGTTTCCCTGGCATTAGAGAATCTGACAGGTGGAATCGAACCTGGGGCCTCTGGAGTTTAGGGCATGATCCTCTACTGCATGAGCTAAAAGCCAGCCAGCTCTCAGCCATGCCTGTGGAAGACACTCATTATTCTTGCTCTAAGTGGTCTCAGTGCCACTAGATGGGACCGTGCACCACACCACAGCCAGCAGGTGTGTGAGTTACAATTACTCCTAAGAGACCTGGAATGGAACCCCTATGAGTAACGTGACATATAAAAAGTGATAAAGCATCGAACCATGGTGCGAACAAGCCAGCTCACCGGCATCAGGGAAGGAGTAAGAGGAAACCAGTCTAGTTAGTGCTGGTATTGTTACATGGCACGGGTCTGTATGCTGTGGGCCAGATTGCGGCTGGCCTACAGTGACTTCTGTGAAACTCCACCAATGTCCCAGCTGGAGGTCAGACCCAGAGTTCGCCGTTCATGCCGAAGAGTGGCATTTCCCACAGTGAGCGTATGTCTAAACTACAGCAACCCACTACGGCACGACAGCTACAGCATAGATGGTTCTTGCGTTGACCAAAGGGGATTGTCAATTGACACTGTTAATCCATAGCTGTCGATGGAAGACTTTTCCCGTCCACCTAGATGTGTTTGCAGTGAGGGCTAAAGTCGACCTACCTATGGCGTGTAGTTTTTCACAGCCCTGAGCAAGGGACTCAGTCAATGTAAGCTTTAGCTTTAGACCAGTCTGTAGGGCGTGATCCAAAGTCAAGAGCTCCAGTGGGCCCTGAATCAGCTCTTTATTCATCTCCTTGGGGGAAAAGGTTGCATAGTGCATGCAATGGACCAGCCCACTTACTCATTCTTCTCCACATCCAGGATGAGCTCTTTCCCCTCCGCGGTCAGCTTGACTTCGGCTTTGAGTGGGTGCTGCATGCAACAGAGAAACCACCATCACACACACAGCAAGATCAATACAGCAAGGGAAGTGCTCGTCACCACTGCCAGTGCAAGCCTCTTCTTGTCCCGCCCTACCGCCAGGAGCACCCTGCCCCCCAGGTGTGCCTAAGAGGCAGGGAGGTGGGACGTTCTGGAAGAGGAACAATGTGTTTGGCTTCTTTAGGCATGTGGAGAGGATCCATGCCTAGAACCCCAGGGAAATGCTTGATCAACAGAAAACCTGCCTTGCACAAATGGGCCTGATGCAGAGTTTTGTTTCCATTATTTCTTAGCAGAGGGCCAGGACGTTACCAAATGGAAAACGCATCACAGACCATGAAATCTGGTGTCCTTCCCTGAAAGCTGGCCTTCTGTGGGCTGTTACCCTACACAGATTTCGCAGGGGAGACCAGTGTTTCTCAAACTGAGGGGCTGGAGGGGTGGGGTGGGCGTGCTGTGGTCTTGGTGGTGCTAAAGACCCCGACTTTCCACCCCTTGGCCCTGCCCCTTCCGCCTTTGGCCTTGCCCCTTTCTCCTTTGGCCCCGCCCCTTCCGCCGACCTTGCCCCAGGGCCCAACAAGGCTGTTGGCTCTGCTGGCAATACCGTACCACCCGTACTTCTGTGCTGCAGCCCGGCAGTGCCTCTGTCTACAGAGCTGGACTCTAGGCAGAAGCCACCCATCTCCAGCTGCTCAGCTCTGCAGGCAGCGCCACTGCCAACAACAGCGCAGAGGTAAAGTTAGCAGCACCGCGACCCGCCTGCAATAACCCTGCGACCCCCACGCAGCCCCTTTCTGGGTCAGGACCCTACAAGTACAGCACTGGGACATTTCAGATGTAAACTGCTGAAACCATGAAATTTACCATTTTTTAAAACCCCATGATTGTGAAATTGAGCAAAATGGACCGTAAATTGGGTAGGGCCCTCAAACCAAATTGATACTATCTGTTACCACATCCACTCAGGGACATATTTAATGGGGAAGTATGATGAGTCTATTTAGCAGATCCCCTTGCAGGTCTATTTTCAGAGCACCCTAGGAGAGCTAGGTCCCCCAATCCCATTAGTATTCACTGGAAACATGATGCCTAATTCCCATGGCCTTCTTTGAAAAAATCCCGGCTCTGTTTGGATGGAGCCCTACCACTGGGCCCTGTCTACAATAACATTTGAAGCGGTGACAGCAACTCTTTAGAGAATGCCAGGACGTTGGTTAATACCACTAGAACCCGAACCGGCTGTTCTCAAACTGAAGCCTGTAGGTGTCTTGAGTCCTGCTTCATGGCCTGCAAAATTAAACCGAAGCAGCGGGGAGTTAGGTTGCGGAGAGGCTGGTCCAGCAAAGGAGCTTTCTTCTACAGGAGAAGTGTTGCACCACTCGTATAAACCAGGCACAATTTGCATAAAGTCTGCTCTCTGGAAAAGCTACTCAACATAGACTGAAACAGCAGCCCTGCCGAGCCACAACAGCTGCTAGACGAGGGGTGGGCACATTCCAGCCCGCAGACCAGACCTCTGGTGGGCACCCACCACTATATTTCCCTGTGCCTCTGCAGGTACGGGCGATCACAGCTCCCATTGGCTGCGGATCACCATTCCCGGCCAATGGGAGCTGCGGGAAGCGGTGTCCCAGTCTGTGCTGCTTCCGGCCACTCCCATTGGCCAGGAATGGCCTCTGCAGCCAATGGGAGCAGCAATTGCCAGTACCTGAGGAGGCGCAGGTAAATATAGTGGCAGTGGCCTGCCAGGGGTTAACCTGGTAACTGCTGCTGTTTTATTGCCCACTGTGTGCTAGACACTGTGGCCTAGGATGTACTCAGAGACACGGTTTTCTGTGAAGGTCCTAATATCATTTCCAATGTCAATATAGACAGATCCATACCCACAGTTTACAGATCTAGAACTTGCTTTACCTGTACACAGCTCTATCTAGCTATAGCTTTAAATAAATGATATGGCTGGAAGAAGGCAAATTGGAAGTACATTGTACTCGGGTGAGGTGTAGACACCTGCGAGATGGGATGCATTGCCTGAAAGGTGTTCCCAGTAGCCTTTACATTATAATTACTCTCATTATTAGGCAGCTACAGTTAGATAATTATAATTGCAATTATGCTGAGGCTGTAACACACAGGAGGGGATCAGAAATATAAACTACAGCTAAGCACCTTGTTACTAGATGTGTCTGGTGCTACTGACTTATTGCAGTACAGGATTTTATTTGTACACTAATTCACATAACGGCACACGGGGCGGTTCAGGGCAGACACAAGCTGTAAATGACCACAGAGCAATAAAAATTCGCGGCTTAGCAGACGGGGTCTGATCCAGAAAAGGTAAGTTGATTCAGCGCAATGAAGAAACAAGATTTTTCTCAGTACGGTTGTGGATATTCTAAGAGCTGCTTTTAAAGGAATTTGCCTCTTAGGGGCAGTAACCACTGCTGTGCTGTTCCTCTATTAGACTTGTTAGATAAGGAATTACCGAGAACTAACCAACAGGCCATTTCCTCATCTGCCTTACTCAATGCACCAGGGGATTTACACAACAGAAATCTAGTGGGTGGTGCCCACAAAAGCTCCTGAGACCAGCTACATATTTTTTTAGTCTTTAAGGTGCTGCCAGACTACTTGTTGTTTAAGCTTTTCCAGTTACAGACTAACTCGGCTCCCCCTTGGAAGCACAGAAATCAAGTGAAACAAAAATACAGAAAAAGAGCACTCTAAAGATCTGCTTGCTGAAACAGTCTCCCAGGCAAGGTGTGTGTTCAGACCCATTAGTGTTAGTCCCAGTTCCAGAATCCTGGGGAACTGCAGATGCTCAGCAGCGATCGATTGTTAGGGTGCTACAGGAGATTTAGCACAAACACAGCTGCAGGGAGCTCGGGGCCTTTTGCCTGGCCGAATCTCTCCCAACACTGGATGTTGACTGCATTTCCTCTTCCCCCTCCCATCACGTTTTGTTTTCAGGATTCCATCAGACAGCTCGTGCCTGCTTGTTGCTAGCAGGGTTCTCAAATCCACTGAGAATTTGCTGGAAGAAACATGGATCAAGGACTTTAGGATCTGACGGATTTGTCTAAGGGCACATACTGGTCAGATGCCTTGTGCTCTTTGGAAACAAGTCTGGGACTAAGAATAACCAAGTACCTCCATAATACATCTGACTGGAATGGGCCAGAGCAGTGTTGCATCAGTCTTCCAAATGTGGCCAATGCCATGTGCTTCTGAGGGAAGGAACAGACCAAAGCATCTATCCCCTGTCACCCAGTCAGAGATATAGGAATGCCCAAAGCTCAGGGTTGTGTCCCTGATCATCTTGGCTAATAGCCATTGATGTACCTATCCTCCACCAACTTATCTAATTGTTTTTTGAGCCCTGAAATAGTTTTGGCCTCCACAGCATCCTCTGACAAGGAGTTCCACAGGTTAACTATCTATAACAATATTTCCTTTTGCCTGTTTTAGACCTGCTGCCTATTAATTTCATTCGGTGACCCCTAGTTCTTGTACCTTTGCAATGATGTTACTTAGTGGGCAACGGAGCTACCACAGCGCCTGCTCATCACATTCCACGAAAAGCTTCCCAGCAGGTTTCATGGTATTGAGTGACGGATACCCTGCATATGCTAAGACTGTTACTACTTAGCCTCCGGCTAATGGTGAAGGTTCCTCTCCCTGGGTATTTCCAATTTGCCTTTGACCTCACTCGGCAGATTTGGTTAGTGTGGTTATTAGACTCCTCTTCCTGAAAACGGATGCGTGGGTTGAGAAGAGGGGGGAAGGTTTTGCAGATAATGCACAGGACTGGGACTCAGCAGATGGGGGTCTTCTGACCAGCTCTAGCACCGATTGCCTGTGTAACCTTGGTCAAGTCCCTGGAGTCTTGCCTCCTGGGGTTACGGGGAGGCCAAACTCACCCTGAAAAACATTACTCCTGTGAGAAGCCTTTATTCCTAAGAGCACTCCCCACGATATCCACAGGACACCCACACCCGGGTGCAGCAGTCAGGCCAGACCATTCCCCCTAGACTTGACCACAGAGAGGAACATCCTGAATGGAGATGTAGAGGAAGCAGGTGAACCTCGCTCCATTCCCCTCTCTGTATCTCACCCTCCTTGGCACCCAAGGGCCACTCAGCTGGGGAGGCGACACAGCCCCAAACACCTTTCCTGACCACATGGTCACATGACATACCTTCATACTGATGTGTGGGTTTGCTGTTGCTTTCCACTGCGGTGTTATTTCTTCCCGGTATAGGTGTGGGCCAACCATGTTGTTTTGTCCTGGGGAAGCACAGACAGTTTCTCAGAGTCAAAACTCCACTGCAAAGCTCAGTGTTTCATCCTGCCACAGCAGAGATGACGGGAGTTTTGCTCTTGACTTAATGCAGGGCTACTCAACACGTGGCCCACGGGCCACATGAGGCCCGTGGCCCATTTATTTGCAGCCTATAGGTGGGATCCAAAACAAAAAAGTAGTCGATACAATGGTCTTCTGTTGCTATGTGTTTTAGTAGTTCAATTCCTGGGCTGTCATTTCTCATTAAAAGTGCTGACATATGGGTGGAAATTGGGTAAGTACTGCATTTTTTTAATATCAGCAGAACTGACTTAAATGGGGCCTGTGTGTTGTGTAGTCTTGCCTTAATCTTTCTATTCATGCCCGTCAGTGTGAAAGAATCTATTTGCATATATTTGCATATATATTTGCATGTCTATGCAACCATATTTAAGTTGCGGCCCTCGGCATGTGCTGTGACTATCCTTGTGGGCCCCGGGGCTTCCAAAGTTGAAGGGCCCTTCAAAGGACCACACATAAACAGCAAAACCCCAGGAGCCATTGGAATGATTTGGCCTTGAAGGTCTCTATGCACATTTAAGGACACTGTTTTATCGGAGCAGCAGATAAGGTTTCCCCTGGACATTTTGCACATCTGCAGTTCTGAAGGCGCAGCTGTATGCGGGGCTTTGTTCTGCAAGGTGCTGGGTGCAGGCGTTCATCCAGCAAAGCACTTAAGCACATGCTTAAAGTTAAGCACAGGAGAAATCTGATCGATGTAGATGAGGGAGCTCCTATGCTTCAAACACCCCACTGGGGCCCCGTGCTCAGCACTTCTCTGGACCAGGCCTGTCAGAACTATCCACACGGCAAGTCTCAGAGGGGTAGCTAGTCTGCATTTGCGAAAAACCAATGAGGAGTCCGGTGGCACCTTCAAGACCAGGGTGGGGAACCCCTGGTCAAGACTAACAGATTTATCTGGGGACAAGCTTTTGTGGACCAAGACCCACTCGAAAGCTGATGCCCAGATAAATCTGTGAGTCCTGAAGGTGCCATAGGATTCCTGGTTGTTCACACAAACTCCCGGGAAGTTCAGCTGAACAAAGCAGCTATAGCCGAAGAGGGTTTTTAAGGAGGTGGATTAAAAGGTGTGTTACTTGCTGGAACAAAGATGGGGAACTCCCCAAAGCACTTAAATAATTATCTTGGTTTGAATCGAACTAGCACCACCCATGTGCCTCAATGCCCGGTGATGCTCTTCCCGTTACAGCGAACCTGTTCTTTCCCCCAGGTGTGTGTGTGGGGGGGCTCATATCTTTCACTGGACTGCGAAAAAGAAGTGTTTGTGCTCCACAGAGCTCTTTGCAGGTCTGGAGGGGGCAGGGAGAAGTCCTTGCCCCATTCCATCTCAACTCACCTAGCGTTAGCGGCTTTTCCAGCCGCCTTCTAGCTGATTTGTATCCTGGCCTGCCGCCCTAGCCCGAGGGAAGAGATCTGAAATGAGCTGCATCGCTCTGTCCAGCATGTGAAGCAGGTGTCATGTAAAACTCTTGATGTCACAGCATGACACACATGGGATGAGTGACAGCGAGTGGAATAGAATCACCGAACACTAGAACTGGAAGGGACCTGAGAGGTCATCCAGTCCCGTCCCCTGCCCTCACGGCAGGGCCAAGCACCGTCTAGATCAGTGTTTCCCGAGTGTTCCACGGAACCCTGGGGTTCCACGACATGAAAATAAGGAATCTGTGAAAAAATTCCATTCCAATAACGTTTTATTAGTTAAAATAATATTTCATGCATATTAGGTTTTGAGCATTATTTTTCATATGCATTAAATGTGATTTTTGTTTTTAAATGTGTGCAATTGAAACCAAGTGTGGATCTCATGACCTTATTTAGCATTTGCTATTATCCTTTCTTATTCCGCTCCATATAGCAGACTGTTAATAGGGGTTCTGCATAATTCTTTCACGTTTAAAAGGGCTCCGTGGCCAAATAAAATTGGGAAACACTGCTCTAGATCATCTGACAGGTGTCTGTCCAACCTGCTCTTCAATATCTCCAGAGATGGAGATTCCACAACCTCCCTGGGCAATTTATTCCAGTGTTTAATCACCCTGACAGGCAGGAATTTTTTCCTCATGTCCAACCTAAACCTCCCTTGCTGCAATTTAAGCCCCTTGCTTCTTGTCCGATCCTCAGAGGCCAAGGAGAACAATTTTTCTCCCTCCACCTTGGGACACCCTTTTAGGTCCTTGGAAGTGGGAAGCGACTCTGGCCCCACTGGCAGTGGGGAGGGGCTAGAGTCAGCCTGCCCCCACCCATCCCAGAGTTAGGACTCTCTGGTTCCACATACTCCGGGGTGTACGGAGAGGGACTAGCTAGATTTGATGGGAGCCCCT